TTCCCAGCCCTGTAACTGCTTTCCTTAAAGCAGCATCTCTGTCCTGTTTCCCATGAAACAACTCAGGTGTTAGATGAAGTAATGTGATGCAGCAAGGCTGAGACTGCCTTCATCATTCTCAAACCATGACTTGGCAGAATTTGGTATAGCTGGCCTAGAAATCATTCTAGACTTAAGGAAGCTGCTGCACCTTAGAAACAACTACTTTCGTTTTGCCCACCATCACTAATGGGGGCAGAAGAAAGTTAATCTGTCTTTATTGAATCTTCTTTTTAAAAATGGAAGTTGTCAACATTAGACCGTATATTAAACTTTGCTCGTGGCTGTTATAATTTGATGGGCCATATACATATATGTACGTGTATTTGATGATCAATATTAGAACAGCTTATGTTCACATGCTGACTCTTGTAGGTACTAAAACAGATGTTGATGTTAACAACAACCAGTAGTACATATACATTTCAGGTGCTTTAAAGTACTCCTTTCCCCTCCCCAGTCCCCTTTTCCCCCTAGGAAGGTTTGCAAAACCTATGCTACATGCTTTTTAAGCGTTGTTTCAGAATATTAAATACATATATTTTAGCTGTATTTATCTGATGTTGATGAGTAGCAGTATCTTAAATGTTTTAAAAATCAAATCCAGGGCATCTCAGGCTGGGAGTGGGTAGGTGATAGGATTTGCCTTTGTGAACAGACTTTCTTGAAGTTACCCAATCCCACATGGAAGCACTTCTTTCATTCCAGGTGAAGGCAATAACTAACAGGCAGCTGAAGTCAATCTGTACTGTAATTTCAAGTCATGGATTATCTTCTTTTGGAGTCAGAGAATAGTCAGCAGAGCACACTGCAAGAAAGAGGCTTATCCCTCTTAAGATTGCTTGTCCTGGGAGGGCTCATTGGCAGGATTCTGCCTTACTGGGAGGAGGTCATAATGACCAGGAATATGGCTGTTCCTAGGTAGGTCGTATGGATTCTGGATATAGCTGGAGTTATGACCACGGCCTTCTTGGACCACACTGACTGTGGGCTCTAAGGAATATAGTGAAAAATGAGTTCAGAGAACAGATTAGCTTTGTTGTTTTGGTGGGAGGGAAGAGAGTTCTATTTAATTTGCTAGGGAAAGGATCTGGATTTTTAAATCTCTGACAAATATATGAGGGTTGGGACTAAAGCTTGCTCAAGAGATGGAAAAACCTAAGGGAATGTCCTGTCAGAATCCCAGCCTCTGGCCACCACTAAGAGATTTAAGATGTCTTGGAGGTATGGGTCTTATTAGTGCTCTCAGGATCATGGTTCAAACTGGAGAAGATGTAAGGAAGTGATTTAGAAACTTGCAAACAGCAGTTCGGATTGTTTCTCAAGCTGGAATTTCTATCAACAGTCAGTTGAAGTGCTGTGTACCTGTTCCCCACCCTTACTATTTCTGCTTCATATCATAGTCATTATAAGGAGAGGTGGCACAAGATTCTGATTTCCTACATTAGAGGGGAGGGCAGTCCTGGGACAGTTTCTCCTAGGGTTCCTTCCAAAACAACCAAAGAAGGATGTGCTGTGGAGAGTGAGTGGAAGAGGGCTTGCTTTCACTTGAGATGCTGCACTGTTGCCCTGGTTTTGGTAAGTTACTTATTTGAGACACCTACCAACTTCATATATATTTTTATTAGATGTCGACAAGGATGGCACATCTGTGTACGGAGACCCCCTGTGCACAGGTGACTTCATTTCTACGTAGCTGCTTTCTGGAAGCTTGCAGGTGAGGATGGGTGGGTCCTTAATTGTAGCATAAGGGTTTTCACTGCTATTCAAGGAGCAGGTACTAGAACTGCACACAGATTCTTTCATGTAATCTGCAAGGCAAGAAAATTTTTTTAGAACAAGCAAGCCTTCATTTAAATACCAGAAACAGAATGCAGTGAAGTGTATGTGCCTTCAGGATCCCGGGGTTGGAAAAGCCTAAGATAGTGGAAGAGTAATTAGCTTATCAAATGTCATAAGGTATGCTTTCCCAGTAGGCAGAATTCTTTTTCCGCAGAAACACATTTTTGGAGGACAGGAAAATGTTTGGTTTTTAGTCTTTAGATATTACTTCAAGATATTCACTGTATGCTTTCACGTATATTATTTGGGTTTTACAAATGATAGTTTATATGTTATGGGGCGGAGGCCCTGATAGACAAAGTGGCTTGGCTAGGGCCACACAGTTAGTAAATACCATTGCAGTGCCAAGATGTCATCTACGCTTTGGGACTCCTTTGGCCCTGTGTTTTCTGTGATATTGTTCTTCTCAGTTCTGATGACTAGAAGCTTTGGTTCAGAAACAGCAGAGGCATGCTCATGTTTTAGTGCAGGTGTCAACAGTTCAGCAGCCTTCACCAAATAGCAGAATTCCTGTCTTCTGGGAGCTCAGAAGACAGAGTGGGGCTAACAGAAGTAAAACAGGTATTAAAAAGCCCCTGTCTCAGGCTTTCTAGCAAGCTTGCAATGCATCCTCTAGGGTCACTCTCCTCAGTCCTGTGAATGTTGTCTGGAACCTGTTTCAGTCCTGTCCTACTCTAATATTACATTTCAGGGCACACAAGGATGGGAAATGATTTCTAAAAATGAGATGAAGTGGTGGTAGCTCCACCAGAAGCAGAAAGCCCTTAGTGACTTTGAAAAAGGACTTTGTCTTCAGCTGCTGCTCTCCTCCCCTTTGGGGATATGACCTATGGGAAGTAGGACATGTAGGAAAAGGCAGACTTAATCTGACAGTTGTGTCCTTTGACTGAGACTCTGGCAAGCAGGGTGTCTGGAAATAATCTTGAGTGGGAGGGGCATGACAGTCAAGAGTGAAGAGTCCTCTCACCTCTTAATTTCTGTGAAAGTTGGTGAAATTCTTGGATAATCTTATATTCACTTGAACCACTACTGTTTACACTTGAGGCGGTTGTCTGTGCTCTCTGCCCTCAGCTTGTGATATTACTGAAAAGTTTTTAAAAAGTGAAAGTGATAGAACTCATGGGGCAACTAGAAGGGCCTTAGACCCTTGAGAGAAGCCACGAGTGTGATGGAGCTGAGATAAGACCATCACAAGTAGTCTACAGCAGGGCTCTGGTGGGGAGGTGTGTGCTTCCTGTCACTGTTAGGCATCTCATATACTGCTGTTAGCAGGCAGCATTTCTTCAATCTTGTGTGCAAGTGCATTCACCCATTAGTTCAAGTTCACAGTGCTGTTTCACAGGTAGAGTGGCAACTATTATTCCCCTTCCCTCTGCCATGCTGCTTATGAGGAGATTGAAACTGAGTAGGGAAGTAACTTCCTCAGGATCCTACTTTGCCTATCAAGGAGGCTTGCTTCAAATTAGGGGGAGATACTGACTTTTGTTTGAGTCTAGATTGTTACCTCTTTATCTGTAGCATGTGACACCAGAGGGTAGAGAAGACATTCTTGCTGGCCAGTGTACAGTCTCAGCCCTTCCAGCTAGGACTAAAGAGAGGCTAAACTGGCCCAATTGCTGGTGGAGGCCCACCCTTGTGGGGAAAGGTGGCTGTGGGACCTGGATTATGATGTGGCCTCAAGCCACTTTGCCTTTCAGTCTGTACTTTGTTTCTTAATGCATGGGAGTGGTGCAGGCCGAAGAGCCTCCTGATGGATTGTCAATCAGGGTCTTCTGGTTTGAAAGCTCTGTCTACTGTCTTGGTTGCATGTTTTATAGAATTTGAGGGATAGCTTAATTTGTGCAGCAGTTAAAAGTTTGTGACTTTCATTCCAGCGAGGTCATTTGAAACTGGGGCTCATCTGTGATAGGACCCACTTCTAATTTGCAACATTTGGGAGGCAGAGAGGCAAGAGAGGCAGATTCAGGGCCAGCCTAGTCTGTATAACAAGTTCCAGGCCAGCTGGGAGTTTATAGTGAGATCTTGTGTTTTGAAAAAAAAAAAAAAAGACTGGGGGCTTAGTGGTAGAGTGCTTGCCTAGCAAGCACAGGGCCTGGGTTCTGCCCTTAACTCCCAGTGGAAAAAAACCAAAACTTTGTACCTGTGAAGGGGGGTAGGCAGGAAGGGACTGTTTTGATATTTTAGAAATGAGGAAACTGAAGCTCAGTCAGTCAAATGCTTAAAGCTAGTAGCTAGGGCTCAACCACCTTCTTTTTATATATATATTTTATTAATTTTATGTGTATGCATGTATTGCTTGCATGTAGGTAAGTGCACCTGTGTCGTGCAATGCCCACAGAGGACAGAAGAGGCTGTTGGATCCCCTGGAACTGGAGTTATGGACAGTTGTTAGCTGCCATGTGGGTGCTGGGATTTGAACCCGGGTCTTCTACAAGAACAGCTCAGTGTTCTTAACCACTGAGCCATCTCTCCAGCCCCCCTCAACTACCTTATCTGACAATCATGATGTTTTTCCGATAGGATTTCTTGTTACCTAGAGCCCTGTCCTTATCTCTAAGTGTAAGCTTTCTGCAGCTGCTTCAGCTTACCCTGCACTAGGGATAACTTTTAAACCTGGGGCCAGGGCCTGCTGAGAGGAAAAGGCTAAGCTCCAAGCTTAGTGACTTAGTGACTGATTAAATTATGGTTGAACTTTAGAGCCTAAAGAGCCTCAGCCTGCCAGGATGCCCCTGCTAGCATTTTCACCAAAAAGTGAAATCTTGGACTGCTCTCAATATTTGAGGAATAAAGTGTTAGCTCTGAAGAAGGAATGCACCTAAATGGATGAAAGGGAAGTTGGGGAAGGGGATTAGACTCAGGGAGAGAATTGCTGGTAAAGACAGGATGGAGAAATCCCTGGATGGTGGCAGGCGGGCAAGGAAGGTGGTGAGTTATCCCATCTCTGCTAGGAACTAGAGGGCTGGAGGGGCAAACTGGAAACTCCACCTCAGGAATCCACAGCTCCTCTCTTGATGAGTCATCTACCTGCCTAGTAGGGGGAAGGGCAGGGTGTGGGGAGGGTGAGCATCTGGGTATAGATACTTCCTTATCCTTTGATAGCTCCACTCCCACCCCAGTCTCTGCCCTTCAGGGCGTTGTGCAAAGAAAGGGGAAGCATCTTACCAGGGCTACCCAAGCTCTAAGGAGGCACCTCACAGCAACTGGCCTGTAATTAGCATTAGGATTGAGTTTAGTTCCACACATGTTCTGGCAATTACTCTCCTTATGTCCTGCTTCCCTCAGATTACATGCAGTCATATACTATCACAGACAGAAGGGGCTTCTGAAATGAACTGACAACTTTCATTTTATGAGGAAGCACAAATCCAGAGAGGAAATGACTTCCCAAAGTTGCTTTGTGTGTTCTGAACCTATTAACAGGGCCTGACTCTAGTTAAGACCCAACTTACTTAAATGTATGTGGAAACCCAGAGACAAAATATCTTAACTCTGAGCTACTGCTATTCATAGGATGCCTTTCCTATTCCTGGGCCCTAAGTTAGCATCCCTCTCTCCTTGAGAGACCAACTATGGGGAGGGAGGAGATGGGGCAATCTCAGGACAAGAGAACACTGGCCACAAAAAAGGAGATTTCAGAATGTCCATGGGCTCCTAAATGTCTAAGAACCCAGAGTTACTTCAGGGAGAGACTTGGATGTTGGATGGCAAGGGAACAGGTAGGTGGGGAAGGTGGCAGCAGTGGGCTTAAGGATTCCCAAATAGGTGATGGAGAGAGTTTTTTTCTGTCGCATATTGAAATGCCTGACAGGCAAGGAATTGAACATGAGGCAGTTTATTGTACAGTCATTGTGCTGAAGGGGAGAAGGGAAGACTGAAAGGTATTTAGCAGTGTAAGCAGTCTCATTCAACCTCCAGGGTGACAGTGAGCAGAGTTTAGTTACAGAAAAAAGTGAGTTTTGCTTGAATTAGGACTTTTAGGATGTCAAAGCTGGAAAGGACCTTAGAGACGGTACTAGCACAACTGTCCTCTTTTAAAGAGGAAGCCAAGACCTACAAATACTGTGTTCTAGCGAGGGTCATACAGCAGAACTAGAACCCAAATCCCTTTATTCTCAGGCAAGCCTTTTCCTTACTGTGTTCAGAGAATAGACTCAGCAGTTCTAAAATTTATGGCATGAACTAGTTGATTAAATATTTGAGGATTTAAACCGATAGGTAGGATTTGTTCCATGTGAGTTTCTGTAAAGTTCTAGACCGTTACGTTTCACTTGCCTCTTTTTCAATTCTCTTGTGGCATGTTGGCCCCCAACACTTGCTGGTACATTTGCCTACACAGTTCTTTTCTCTCTAATTTAAAGGATGATTAGAGCCAGAGTGGTGAAACAGAATCTGGCTGACTGCCTGCTAGGGCTGCCGTGCACTGATGACCCCATGAAACAGGAATGTAATGACGCCAAAGAAGAGACTGACTTTCCTTAGCTTTGTTTACATTTGTGGTCTCTAGTTTAAAAGTAGCTCCCATAATCACCATGCCTGGGACAAGAAGGTACACAGGGAAGTTGTGTGCTCATATATTAGTGTCTGGGCTTGTCTCAGCTTATTCTCTATTGAGCCATGCATGTTCTCAATGCTGCCAAGGCCCTGGAAGGACTTTCTAATCTCCATTCCACTTTGAGAAACTGAACTTCCAGGTCGCAGTGACAAAGTGGTAGAACTGGCCCTTCTGTTGGCAGTATCACATACAGAAAGGGTGCTTGCTTCCATTTTATGGTTTAAGCCAGAACTCAGAAAATTTCCATAATCACGGTCTCAGTGGAGAACCACCCATCAGCTGGCTTGGAGTTTAGTAATGGCCTCCCTCCTCACACCCCAATCCACGATGGTGGTCACTCAGCGCTGCTGCTCTTGCTCAGAGCACACCATGCCACCCATCCCTTGCTTATCCCACTTCTGATAGCCAACTCCCCCAGCTTTGTACACAAGTTGCTCTCCTTGGTTAGAAGATGGTTGTGCTAGGTATGAAACATTGGAACAGTAACCTGGAAGTCTGGGGCAGTTTAGACATATGATGGATGGGTAATAAAATGGCGGAAGGATGCCTTGAGGTACTCATCACAATTGTAGAGCCCAGGGCCCCACTCTCCATCTACTGCAGCAGAATCTCATGCAGGCGTGATCACATGTAGTTTTAACAAACTTGTTAGATGATCTGGTGCAGAGCTAAGTTTAGAATATTAGGTGGGACCTTTGCTGAACTCCTGGAAGGTAGCTCAGTTTCTCAAAGCTGCCAAGGCCCTGGAAGGACTTTCTAATCTCAGTTTGGCTGAGTTTTGGACACTTATCAAAGACATTACATTGTTATCTTCTTTATAATATGCAAGAGCACTTCCCATCTGACTTTATTGTACACTCATGATAATCTTGTTAGAAAATAAGACATGTATAATTGTCCACCTTGCAGATGAAGAAATGGCCTTAGGAAACTCACAGTTAATAAGTGACTAAGTTCCAGAGTGCCCCCTGCCTACTTCATACATTCTGACATTTGAACCTAGCACCTAATCCAGGGCAGGACTTGATCTTTTTTTTAAAAACAAACAAACAAAAAAAAAACTTCACCTGTAGACTTCCTAGAGAGAGGTTCTGACTTGTAGTTTCCATGGCGTAGGAATCTGTCTTGGCTTCTCTGCTCTTGGGTGCAGAGATCTCTCCAGGGTGGGGGAATATACAGTATCAATACTAGGTATCATTTGCATTCCTTGTGCCCCCTCCCCCAAAAGGCAGCAGGTGCATGTGGTAGTCCTTGTAATGACAAAAGGCCTCTGGGGCAGATAGATTGACTTTATTTCAGATTTATAATCAATTTAACTTGTACTAATTAGTTGGATAATGATGCTCTACAATTCCGAAGACATTTAGTTGGCATCTATAAAAAAACCCCACAAGCGTTTGCTAAGCAGGTGCAACTGAAATGGAAAGATGAATCCATTATTAGAATTGCTCTTCCTGGACAGAGCCACCCACTGGCTCTAGGTCCTGTGATCTTTTAGCTTTTTTAAAGGGGTGTGGGGTGTGCAGTTTCAGGTGGAATTCCTGGCCATTTCAGATCTGGCATCTCTCTTGCTAAACCCTGTGCAATAGGATGTCAGGATTGGATACTCTACCTTTGAAGCCTTTGTCCATAATGTATGTGTTCTGTCGTCTATCCATTCCACAAGCGTCTGCATAAAAACAGAAGGAAAGAAAATACCTGGTGAAGTTTACTTAGCTTGTGGAGGTTTCTCTTTAAGAAAATAGTTGTGTTATTCCTAACAAATTAGCCTAGATTTAACATATTCTAATTTTGAACATACAGGAATTCCTAAAAGACTCCTGGCATTAAGGTGGGCTACAGCACCCCCTGGGTTATTTAGCTTTCTCTTTAACCTGAACCTGCCTTTCAGGATGCCACTTGCAGTCTCTAGAGGTGAAGTTCCAGGCTCCTAAGGAATGCAGTTGAACCAGTCCTTAGCTGGAGGGAAGGATGTATAACATTCTAAATGTATTTTTCCCTTGGCTTGGAGTTGGAGACAGTGTTTCTCCCCTCTAAACTCTGATCCTGCCTCTCCTGGATCTGAGGGGAGCCAGGGAGAGGTGGAGAAGCAGCTGGAGTCCTTGATAAGTCATCTTCCCCAGAAGACCAGTCATTCCTAACCATGGTCAGCTTGCTCAGTTACCCATTTGGGAGGTGGGGAGGGTAGACCATTTGAACATATTTTTGTCTTTGAAAATACTACCAGTATTTTTCAGCCCCAAGGCCGACTTTCTTCATTTTGCTGTCAGTTTTTTCCCAGGCTCCCTGAATGTATGCTCCTGAACCCCAGCCAGAGGCAGAACATAAGCTTGAGCTAATTGCCGCTGGTGATCCTGGGGGTAGGAGGAAGTCTAGCATTTCTAAGTCAGGACTGTAATAATTAGCTTAAAGTAACCCCCCACCCTCCTGTGTTCCTAGTTTTTAACTGAGAACATAGTACCGGGCAAGGCATACATATAGCAAATGCTTACTAAAATATAGTTTGACTCCACTTAACTCGGCCACATTTCTGACACTGAAGACAAACCCACGGGTACTTGGATACCTTCTCCATATAGAGTTCCCAAGTTGAATTTGCAGGACTTCATGCCTATTTGCCTGGCTTACACATGTTCCTGAGTACTACAGCAGAACCAGGCCCAAGTTGGCTATCCTAAAAGGCCTGTAGGAATACCCTTCACAGTCCTGCAGCAGTCCATGATGGCCTTGGTTTAAGTACTTCATAGCCGACAAGGCATTCCTTTGCTTTCCTTGGAGGAGGATATCTACACTGTTAGCTTTTATCCTTCTTACAAAATGGGAAACAAAGTGTCACTTGTTCAAGACTATACCAGCAAATGAGGAGTTGCAGTAGTGCTCCCATCAGCCACAGCCTGCCTGGCTGTCAGCTAACAGAGGACAGTGTGTGGTGCTCTGGCTATAGTGGGTAAAGGTCTATGAAGCAGGGAGGAACTAGACCTGACCCCAGAAGATGCTCCCATGTTCCTGTTGGGCCACAGAACCCTCAAGGTGGTATCAGGGATTATAGTTAGTGGGTTATTGAGTGCTTGGGCATATTTGAAGGATCCATGGCCAGCAGGGTCCTCACAACTATGCATGCTCAATTAGATGAATTCCAAACCTTCATGTTTCCTAGTGCCCCTGGACCAGAGACCTGTGGAGGTTGACTCAGTTTTGCTGAAGTCCAAGCTCAAGCCTAGAGTTGTCTAGCATTGGAAGGCCCTGCTCCAGGCTGCCCTAGAGGAGCCTCATTGTAGGGAGGCCACATTCTGTTCATTCATTGCACTCACTTTAACACATAACTTGTGTAAATGATTGAATTGTCACCCTTTCAGGACTGAGTTGCCAAGTCTCTTTCACACCTCTTCTCAGGCCAACTGGTTTGAGGTCAGAGTGTTTGAGTACAGAGGATCTCTAGTGATAGATCCTCCCCACCTTCTCTCTACCCAGTGTTCTGAAAAAGCATAGCTTGGGCCATAGGTCTGGGGCCTTTTTGGCCAAAGAATCAACCCTCAGTTATCTACGTTATTCCCAGGTTGCATGTTATGTCCCCTCCACAAGCAACTGCAGTTTATCCACATCCACTGGCACAATGAAGGCAGACGGGGTGGTGGGAAGGACTTGGACAAAATGCCGCCTTTGGGTAGGGAATTGGGTCAGTAGCCTAGTCGTGGGAAGAGGAAGGCTCCATGGGGACAGGGATAGGAAGTAAAGCAGTCTGATGTCAGGGTGGAGGGAAGGGCTGGGGTCTGACCTGGTGAGTGTGGCTCAGCGGGGCGGCTGAGGTGTCTAAGTTCAATGTAGAAGTCCTCGGGCGGGTACCTGGCCTCCAGGGCACTGATCTGGAAATGGGAGTCTAGTGAGAGGAATGACAGGGAGGAGCCATTATTCCCAGGGCCTGGATGGCAGAAAAAGGGGGTGGGAAGCACAGGGTGGGGCAAGGGGCAGGCCAGAGGAATTGAGGCTTCCGTGTAGTAGTCAGAGGAGACGGGCAATCTGCTGTCTTTCCCTCACCTCCCATTCCACCCTCCACTGGGCAGGGAAGCAGCTCTCGAAAGGTATGTCAGGCAGAGGGTCTTTTCTGCAGTGGTGAGTATACTTACTGCTTCTATCTGGAATCCCCATATCTTATCCCTAGTAGTTAGTCTCTGGATCACAGCTACCTGCTCCCTATCCTGTTATTAGAAATGAAGTTCTGGGTTCACTTTCTTCATTTAGGTTTCTTCCCTGTACATATATCCCTGGGGGTACCATGCTCAGGACTCAAGCCTCTCCCTTTGAGCTGGGATAATGCCCCTCAGCAAGGGGGATCAGGGTTGGACAGGAAGGGGAGGACAACTCAAACCGCTACTAACCTAACACGTTCACATAGCTGTAGGGGGTCCAGCCTGCTGTGTCTCTGTCAAGGGACTTGTTACTGAGCTGTTTTGGAGAGGAGAGCCAGTTAATACTTCATATTACTGCTGCCCAGCCCCAAGTTCCCAGAGATGCTCCTGAGCTCCCTGCATCCTGGATGACTGAAGTGGAGGACCAGATGTTACATGACAAGTCATCATGTTGTAGCTGAGGCTTGTGAGAACAGAACGTGCCCAAGCTACATCATCAGGCTGAAGTTAGAGGGTTCCCAGGCCCCTATGGCGTAGGCAGGTGGGGTGATACTGCAGAAGAGGGGCACTGTCAGTTCCCATCTGTAAATGAGGCATCCCCAGCATACAGGAGACAGGCTGCCTCTAGTGCTGCCACATGGGCTGTATGAGAATCTCTCTTCTTGTGACCAAGGGAAAGCTCCAGGGCAGGATGTTCTGAGGCTAATGTTGCAATCCTTCTTTCCCTACATTCTCACTGCTTCCCTT